TTTTAAGTCCTTAAACTTGTATTTAAAACTTCTTTCACTAAGGATTGAAGGAAACTCACCCGGTATTATAAAACGTGTCGATCCAAAGGTTCCTAATAGCTGAAAGGCACTTAACAAGCAATTTCCACAGCTGTTAGAAAAGGAAGTCTGCAAACCCAGTGTCCTTTTGAAGGCGCTGACCATGGTTCAACCAAGATGGCTATTCCCTCATCTCCCAGAGCTCTAAACCCGCCTGAGACCACTGTCTTGCAGACTTCTTATGAGGAGCAGCCATCTGAATTACTTGGTGATCTCAAGTCCTCTCCTTGTCCAGAGAGGAATTATGAAGAGCCAGTCTCCACGCCGTTGTTCTGCCATAGTCGTTGGCTCCGCTTTTAGTGGAGCCATCTTCAGTTCGCCATTTCTTCCCCAGAAGTTCATTACTTCCCAAGATCTTGACACCAAACCTCTATGTTAATTTCAATACATTAGGAGAAAAATATTTTTTCTGTTGTACACTACCCAGAGTCACATTCCTTGAGTTGGGAGACCTTATAAATCCAATGAACGAATGAATGATTGAATGTTTCCAAAACATCCAGAGATAATTTTTTCTATTCTGTAGTGCTTCAGATTGACTATTGTGATAAGAGTAATGCTACTAGCTCTAGATTACAAAAATCCAGGTGAACAGTAGATGTTAGCAACAGTTAAGAGTTTCCTGTATCTCTTTGCTCTTATCTAGTGATTGTCTGGGGCTTTTGTACCAGGGTATAATTTAAAATTGGTGGGAAGAACCTTTATTTATTTAGGACACTGTGGGTTCAAATAAGGTGGTTACTCTTAATCGGGTAATTGTAAATGAAATTTAAACAGTTTTGAAAGATTAATAAAGGAATATAATTTTCCAAAAAATTACCCATTTTAAAAAATGGGAGTGAGCTGATGAAAACACACCCAGAATTTTCTCCATTTCTTCAGGCACATAAAGAGTGATATGCCAGGAAGTTTTTATCTTTTCCAAGCATATTTGTGATAATGCACAATTTATCACTTTATGGGGTTCTAAGTGAGCAAGACAAATGAGAGTCAACTGTATTAATTTTCATGATTAATTCATGGCCCAGAACACGAGGGAGCTGCTTCAGATCTGAGAAAGCAACATGAGGACATAAATTTTGCAAAGCATACTCTATCTTTAAAAACAACACCGCCAAACAGAAAGAACCCAGCAGTCGGAAGATCAAGTACGCCGCCCTGCACAGTGAGCTCCAGATCCCCCATCACAATTTTCATTCAGATGACTTGGATTCATACCAAGAGAATGCTGGTCCCCTGCAATTCACATCTTATAAATTAAGAGCCAGCCCCTTGTGAGAACATATGACAAAACGTGGATGGATTAGAAGAGAGATGGTCTTAATAGCAGCAGTCTGTTCTGCATGCAGATGAAACAGAGGCAAGATTCTGGAAGGCTCCCCCCGCCCTTCCATTTTATTCTCCCTAGCAACCGAAGTCTATTTTGATTAGGGACAGGTGACATACAGCCCTTAAAAATATAAAAAAATATTCCTGGGTTCTGCTTTGTGATCAGTATCCTTCGCTTCAATGTTAATCCAGTCCTGATTTCAAGGGCAGCATAATAGTCATGTTGTATCTGTTCATAGTGGTGGGAATCTCAACACAAGTATCTGAAGATAAAAGAGCATTATCTTTCCATTCTTCTGCTCTACCCCCAAACTGGTATCAGAGTAAAATCAGAGTGAATCATTCTCACCCCATGCAAAATGTCAATGCAACTTACCGATTCATTTCTTCCAGGCAATCAGTTGCAAAGTAGAAGCTCTTGATTTTGGGGTGGCAAGCTTTGAAAGCACTATGAGTAGAGGAGAGAAAAGAAAAAGGAATATTTGGCTTCTACTAGTATGATAGCAAGTGATTCAGGTCTACTGAAGTCAAGTTCCTGTTTGAATTTGGTGGCGACCAGGTATCTCCAGTTGTTTTGAAATACAATTCACAGAATTTTTGATCATTAGTTATCCCAGGTGGAATTTTGAGAGCTGTATTGATATGACCCCAATTGTCCCTTCTTTGACATGGAGTTTCTGCTCAAGATGTAAAGCTCTTTATTTTTCCTCAGGTTTTTTTCCCCCCTACTAAAAACTGAGGCCCATGGAATCGCCTATGTTTTCATCACTGAAATTTGATGGCAAACCAGAGATTGCACCACTAACACTGATGGCAAATATGATGCAATTTTTTAAAACAAAGTAACCAGGAATATAGAAGTATCAAACTTCCAAGTAGTATACCAATTGTAATTATTAAAAATAAAGACCCTCCCAATAAATAATTCAGCCCTGTTTCCTCTGGTCATGCCTCTTATGTTCTGAGAAGTCACAAAAAAATTGGCCCCATGGTAGAGAAATCTTGCCTGGCCTTGACTTAGAGAAAGTGGCTAAGAGGCTGTTCTATAAGTGTAATGGGCTTTGAGAATAACTGTGGGAGACAGGACGAAGAGCCACAGTCTAGGCAATGGTCTTGTAAGAAAAATATGAGTCCAGAACAGGACTGGGGATGAAGGAAGCATCTCAGAGTTGACCCTCCCTAGTTCTCTGGGACCTAAATGCAGGGGAGGGGGGAAGTGCTTTCAGACTTGCAAGACTCTGTTGCTATAACCTTACAATAAAGGTAGTATTAGTATTTGTGCTTTTGTTTTCCTTGTCTGGACTACCTTGAAGGCTGACAATAAAGGCATGGATTTATGTACCCTATTAGCAAAATGCGGATGCCCCCAAAGGCAGCAAGCACAGATTTTCACATGGTCCATGGGACACATCTTCCTTGTTGATTTCATAGATGTTTAGCCAGGGGCAACCACCAAGTTATGCTCCCCGTGAGATTCAGACACAGGACATAGTTATGCAGAGAAACATAGCATTTCCAGTGGCTCTGAATGGAATACTGAAGTAAACAAGGGTGGGAAGGCATTCAGCACATGGCTTCTGGAATTCTTTCCGACCTCTTAACTGGGTCACATGTCCTGAAGGGAGGAGGGAGGGGGGCTTAGAATGGAGGAGTTGGCATCAGCCTGTGCCCCTGCCCAGCTGCTTCTCCCACAGACATGCAGCACAAGAACTGGAAAAGCCCCCTGGGAGGGATTCCAGTAGAATTTCCTGATGTCTTCCTACAGGATTAAATTGAAGAATGGAAAATCAGGGAAGCTGTAGACCTCTGGAGGGTTGAACAATGAAAGGTAGGATATGTTGTGGCTTCCATTATTAGCACCATACTTGATCTGTTGGAGTTCCACCAAAATTCTCTTCTTTGCAAGAATTTTGGAAGCAAATGCTTTTTCATCAGATGGAAGAGAACTGCAAAGAAAAAAATACAGAGGAATTCTCTGCCTGGCACTTCTCTTGGTTCTTCTGCTTGCCCTTGTGCTTGAGAACCTCTCTAAGGAAGACTCTTGATGATACCAAGATCTCCCTACTTCAGGACAATGTTTCTATTGAATAACCAATCTCACTGTATGGAAGGAAGGAAGGAAGGAAGGAAGGAAGGAAGGAAGGAAGGAAGGAAGGAAGGAAGGAAGGAAGGATACCATGATGGATGTTAGCCCTTCAAGATAATCCAGACAAGAAGCACAACTATGAGTACTAACACTATCTTTATTGTAAGGTTACGTTAACAAAACCTTGCATGTCTGAAAGTATTTCTCCCTTCTTCTGCTTTTACTCTCCAGAAGACCAGGCAGGGTCCCTTTTGAAATGCTTGCCGTGCCTCTTCTCCTTCTGTGGGCTGAGATATCTTTTACATGATCGTTGTTTAGTCTGCAGCTCTTCCTCCTGTCTCCCAAGGTCATTCCCACATACCATTGCAATGGGAAAGAACAGATATGTGAATCATTAGATTTAAAAGTGGAATGGAGTAGAATCATTGTGATCCATCACCCTGAAGAATAGACCATGATAAAAATGCAGGTCTCGAAGGGACTTCAGCAATCAAACAGGGTCCACTAGATGGCAGACAAGACCAATCAACTGAAGTGAGACAAAACAATGGTTTCAAAGGAACTCTGTCATGGAAGATTGGGTGCTTGCATTAATATGGACCGAAGCTGTTCCCTTCAAATGCTAGACTCTACAGCCTGTATCTCTACATGTGCACTAGCACATTGGCCTGGATTGCAGGTAAGATCAGAAATCTAATTTATAAATATTGGCATTGCCATGTTAGGCATACGTTGCAAGTACTGGTGCTTGGGTTGATTTCCTCAAACAAAAGACTTCAAATAATCCCCTTTATAATGCAAGAAGGTGGCAGGGAAACCAGGATTTTTCTCAAGAGATATCAGAGAATTGCATTTGACCCCCTTCTTTTAATGGCCATAATTCCCATTTCTCAGACAATTATCCTCCGGATTCCATATGTCTCCAAATGTTGTGTTGCAGTTCTCTGCTTCCACAAATCCAGCATTAAGCATGACATGCGTATTCTAGAAAAATATTTGTACAAATAAGCATGCATTGCAGAGGGGTGCCCTTAAGAATAAATGGAAAAAGGAAGGTGGAATGAATTTCTACATCTCTATGTTTGAAAACTCTGTGCAAAGTGAAACCAGTGTTTTCGGTCTGTAGCTAGGGAGAACTGGATCCCATTTTCTCCATCCATTTTCATGGTGCAGATAGACTGGAAAGAATCTGGTGACTGTCATCCCACACTGACAGGTGTCCCAGAGGTGGCAGTATCCAGAAGTTCTTTCTTTTATAACTATTCTTTCTTTCAGCAGTTTTTGCTAGCTCTTTTACAGCACTCCTTCTCCTGCCTCAGACGATTTACACATTTTTAGCAGTCCAAGACAGACATGGAGTCAATGATTCTTTCTTTCTTACTCCCATTTTCTCTCACGCTGCTTTACTTCTGCAGAAATGGTCCTTCTAAGTCAGGGCTAACTGGCCCAGCATATCTGAAAGACACTTGGCAGATGGCAAAAGGGAGCCAGATAGCAAAGAAGAATTACTGGTATTGTGTAGAGACGCATAGCTAAAGTTGTTTAGAACAAGGAAGAGTGTGAGGAAAAGCTGAAGGAGGAAGATGCTGTGTCCACCATCTCTCAAATGATGCTAAAGTGGTAGTTCTTCCCCTCATTTCCCCATCCTTTAATCTCCCTCCCTAGGAATCTGCTTTTCCTCACTTTTCTGTGATTTACACAACAACGTAAGGATGGGAAAACTGCAGCTTCTGAGAAGATTCATCTAGTATGGTCCGCTGTAAAAGAGGCTGGAGCTGGTAGTATAGCAGGGCTACAATTTCCCATTCCTGTTGCAATCAATTCCCAGTGTCCCCATTCTCTGGTCAGTCCCATACTAAGTGATCCCCCTGCAAGGGTAATAGTGACCAGCCATTTTTTTTAAAAATGACAATATTGCAGGACTTTAAAAGTATTCTATTATTATGAAAAGGTGCCCTAATGAGATAGAACAGGAACATGTCATTCAGATTTCGTTTTTATGGGTAACTTCTAAGCTCCATTTCCCTTTACTATGGTTGGGAAAGTTGGGTTTCTGTATCTTTAGGAGACTGGAGGTTGTGATTCTTACAGATTCATTCTTCTTTGCCTTTAGTTCAATGACCTATTTCTCTGTCTTTGATGTGCTATCAAATGAGTGATCCAATCTAGGTTTACTTGGATATAAAACCTGGGTCATCATACTTAACAACTAACCAGTGCAAGCCAGAATGTGTCCCAGGGAAAGTTTATTTCCAACCCTTTGAAAGGATTCAAGATGTTGCAATTTATGGTGCTCTGTGATTCCACAGCATAGGCTGCAGATCCACAGTGGATCCAGTCAGGATATCTGGTGGAGCTGGGCCATGATTTTTAAGAATTTTCTTTTCTTAGCTCCCCATAAATAGTTAGCCAGGTAGAGAAGGAATGCAGGTTTCTCTCTTGACCTTTTAATTACTTTTTAAAAATGGGTGTAGTGTTGAACTTCTTGGGGGTTGCATCATCTCTTTGTCCCTGTGAGACTGTTAGATCTCTGGGGCAAATGGTGAAAGATAAATAAGGGGAAGTCTTCATGTGTTGTCCCTGGGTGTCTCTCAACCTGGCCTGCAGGTAGTAAAATGAGAGCTTATGTTTAAGAGGCAAACGGAACTCCTCCCCTTTTGCGTTCAAGATGTGATTTAGATAGAAGTGAGTCTTTCCTTTCCTAACAAATAAGTTCCTAATATACCTATAGAACCTTTGACTTAATAACTTGAAATAACTACCTCTGAATTCAAGTGATCGTCTGCTTGCATTGACTGATTGCTGGGCTAAGCCCATATTTTGCATTCACGACAATGGCATCAGGACTATTGTATTCTTTTTGATGGGGCCTTCAGCAGCTTGATTTGTCTGTATTCTTTCAGCACTCCATTTACATTCAGGAGCACAACCTCCCACAAGGGCTTCTGCTGAATTCAAAACTCCTTCAAATTTAGGGATCCTGGAATTGCACCCCCAAAGCAGCATTGCCCAATTTTATAGAAAACACAAACAGATTTGCTGGGTCTGTAAGTGACCTCCATTTCTGCTTTGTAGGTGATTTTGGTTGATACTTACTGTTTCCTTCTGCATTCAACTGCTCTGTCTATTCTGAACTCTGGTAAACTGATGAATCCTTCTGCTTTTTCATCCTGCAACCATACAAAAGAGAAAATACCACTGAGATAGAGCAAAAGGTTGCAGGAGGATGTCCCACACACCCATTCCATTACAGATAATTAGGTTGCCAGATCACTGAGCATGCAATAGCTGATGCCAACTGTTTGTAGATGACCTTTAAAGACTGAGCACTTTCAGAAAAAGAAGACTAATTTTCAGTCTATTAATAACCAAATTACATTCAGGAATATGCAACCATAGCTTCTTTCCGTTCTGTGTGAGGGATACAACTTTCGAAGCTGATTTAACATTACTTTCTGGCAGCCTAGGCCACAATCAAAACCAGAATTAAAGGCACTTAGGCTCACTGATTTATAGCTCTGATGTGAAGATGAGTCTGCCCTGTCTTTTCCAACGTACAAATCAGAAAAAAAGCCAGGATGTCAAAGCTTTATGGAAACCTTTGAATTGTCTTCTGGTTGAGAAAAACTCTCGAATTATGTAGTGAATCTATGTGGCATAGACAGAATTCTCTTGAAAGCTTTCCTCTTTTCAGGAATCACTGACTTCACTCAGAAATGACTTTGTTATTCTCACTCTGAATGAACCTAACTGCTATCAGTCATGATAGTTGTGCAATATAATCATTTAAACCCCAGACTGACTTGTTTATTTATTTACTAGCAAACATTTTTATCACCCATTCACATAGAGTCTGGGCAGTTTACAGAGTTAAAAAAAAGTAGCAAGCAAACAGAAGCATATATTTTAATGATCATGTGGGAATCAACATGTGAGATCCTGGTAGACCTCCACTGCTTCAGTTTACATGGGAGTGAGACAGGGCTAAGAGTTAATATATGCTTGTCTCCTTTTCCCCCAAGATCCTGACCATGGCATGTCAAATTTCCTGCCCTTGCATTTTATCCTCACAAAAGTCAGCCTGAAAGTCAGTAACTGGCCCTAGATCTTCCTGTAGGTTCAATTCTCACCTGTAATGGGCAGAACTTCGAGGAACAGGAGGAAGAGCTGCGACCAAGGCAATGGTCAGATAAAAGAAATCTGAGTCTGGGAAGAAATGTAATTTGAGAAAGCGTCTCAGACATGACCCTTTCTAGTTCTCGTGAAGACAAAGGGAAGGAGGGGGGAAGTGCATTCAGCCTTGCAAGATTCTGTTACTATAACCTTATAATGAAAGTAGTATTAGCTTGTGTGTCTTTGGTTTCCAGGTTTGGTCTACCTTGGAGGGCTGATATCATCCAACACTAACCGATGTTCAAAAATGACTTTGATTAGAAATGCCAGTTGCCAAACAGTATTATAGATGGTACTGAAGGAAAAACTGAAGATCTGGCACTGGGATAGGCAATCTAAGGGTCTAGAGAAATGTAGGGTCTCCCATTTTTTTTTTTTTCTGAGTCCTCAAGATCTTTTCTGAACACAGAGTGGCCTTTCTTGTTAGCAGTTTTAAACAAAATGAATCTAAAAGAATTTAAAACTTGGGTGGAGAGCATAGATCTGTGGCAAATAACAAATATCACAGCAAATAGAAGTCTGTCCACAACTTTTCAAACAAGCAAAGGGATCAAGCAAGGGTGCCCACTTTCTCCCTTATTATTTGTCATTGCTTTTGAAATTTTGGTGGACAATATTTGGAAAGACAAACAAATATTAGGGATCAAAATTCAGGGAGAGGAATCCAAGTTGAAATGCTATGTGGACAATGTAGAATTAACTATTATGCAAACGCATCATGAAAGCAATCAAAGACTTTTGTGAATTCTCTGGATACAAAAATCAATGAAAAGAAAACAAAGATAATAATGAGATTTAACCCCAGAAGAAGACAACTTTGTGGAAAAAGCGTCAGATTGTAAGATAACAACAAACCCAGTGAAGTATTTGGGACTTTATCTGACAGGATGCAACAAAGATGTATTTCAGAACAATTATAATAAATTATGGAAAGAAATAAAAAAGGCATTGAAAGATGGAAAGTTCTAAAACTTTCTTGGCTGGGATTTATTGCAACAATAAAAATATTACCCAAGATGAACTTTTTATTTCAAATGGCACCAATTCTAATCTCAGACAAAACCTTGCAGGATTGCCAAAGAACCGTCAACAGATTTATATGGAATTGCGGG